ATATAATAGATAGGCCGACTTATCCACAAACTTATCCAGAAACGAAATCAAGGTTTGTTAATGGATAAGACATACCGAATATCCTGATACACTCTCTCCCCGACTGGGAAGAGGAGATCCAACGGTAGTGCTCCAACCATCGCCGCTACGTCCGGCTACTCGAGATGGTGATGGCGTCCTTCCTGCTCTGTCAACCTCCCTCGGGATCGGGATGCGATCGCTGACACCGCCCCGACTCTTCATGAAATCCAGCAGATCCTCCGAGAAAGGCTGAACTTTCTCCATGAAATCTTGGGATACGGAGCTGTTCGATGTCACCTCCTCTGAACTTTCCCTGCTCGGACGTACGTGACACCGTATCAAACAAAAAGTTGATGACAGCTGAGTTACTAAGGACGTCAACAAAAAAAAAAAAAAAAAAAAAAAACGAAACCAAGAAAAGAAAGAGAAATTGAAAAAAAAAAGAAAAAAAAAGAAAAAGAGACCCACTCGAAAAGCGCCAACTTTGCAGTCTCTATCGCCCTCGGCGATCTGCCCGGACGCGATGAAAAAGATTGACCCTTTCTTCATCAGCACTACTCCACCAGCTTTCTTCACGTAGTGATTGCCACCCTCAACTCTCTCTCTCTCTCTCTCTCTCTCTCTCTCTCTCTCCACACACAAGCCCTCCCACCGAATCCTGTGAGGGGGAAGAGGAATATAGCCGCGAGACGTCAAGGGAGGGAAGGGGAAAGGTGGCATAGGGACAAGGATGCGGTTTCTTGGAGAAAGAGGGGTGATTTTGTCATGTTAATCATTGTACCATTCCGCCTAACGCACTGCCACAGAGAGAGATGATGAGCAATAGAAGGCGGTTTTATCTTATCCAGAGGTGTTATCTTATCCACAAAGAAACTTACCATCTGGCGGCAATTCGAGACTGTCGACGTGGCGTTCCTTGGCTATCCCACCAACGAGGCTCGTCAGCCGTTCTACTGTAGCTATGAAGATCCTGATGAGGAGTAGAGAAGCGCTGTTTCTCCTCATTCCCCCTTGTCCCAAAGGCCCCTCCGATTTCATCAGCCGACCCTCCAATCCAACTTCCCCCTGTCATTTCGCCCCTTGGATCGCTTGCCGCAAGTGATTGATTGCCTTTCCAACTCCCGCCTTCTTTCTGATTGGGTAATCGTCGATGAAGATTGACACGTGGCGACAGCTGATAGAGTTGATCGCTCCCAACCAGAGGTCGTGTTAGGATCCTCCTTTCCTGTCTCCATTTCTCCCATCCCTCTTCCCACTCCTGCATTCCCTTGTACTCGGCACTCCGAGCCTCTTCCTCGGGAATATCGACAGAAGACATCTGAGTCCCCTCCTCCTCCTCCTCCTCCTCCTCCTCCTCCTCCTCCGCTTCTTCCTTTCCTTCCTTGTGGTCATCTTCCTGTACTCTACGATCGATATAAGAATCCATCCATGTCTTGTTCCTTCCGACAAACAGATCCTCTCGTCGTCCTTCGGCTCCCAGCATTCCGCCATATCCGAAAGCTTGATTTTTGTTGTCTTCATCACCTCCCTCTTCTTCCTCCTCCTCCCTTTCTTCCCTTCCATCCCAGACTCCAGCCGATCGAGTCCCATTTATCTGCGGCATATATCGAGCTCTATCCTCGTCTATCCCTTCTCCCTTTCCACTAATTACCCCCTCCTCCTCCACCTCCCATCTCCTGGTCTTTACACCTCCATTTCTATTATCGCCATACCCGAGACCTTCAAGTTGCCAGCTGTCTTCTTGATCGTTCGTAGCCGACGATGATGCCAACTTCTCCTCCATCTTGAGAGATCTCCTCTGATCGTCGACCTGCTCCTCCGTTTGCCCTTGACAGATGCCGTTATCTTCTTGATGTTCGTAAGAGCCACCGAAGGGTACAGACATATCCTCCTCCTCTTTCTCCTCCTCCTCCTCGTCGTCGCGCACCGCTCCCCCTTCCCTCCAAGAGCTCTCGTCTGTCTCATACTCCTCGTAGCCTTCTCCATAATCGCCACGTGGATCTGCAACGGACGCAGCAGCACGGCCTTCCCAGTCATCATCTCGCCACGTGGATCTACCATTTCTTCCGTCCTTAACGTGATTACCTGCGATCCGGCAATCATCATGCGCCACAGCTTCTCCTCCACCTCCCCCAACCCCTACTCCCATGCCTCCTACCGCTCCTAATTCCACGCCTCCTTTCTCCCACACCACAGCCTCTTGATTCCAAGCGCTGAGAGATTTCAAAAACTCTGCCTCGCCGCCGTCACCTACGAATGAGTTGTTGCCAATCCCATAAAAATCTGGAAGCATACTTGTCTCCTCTTCCACTTCTCCTTCCGCAGACTTCTCTCTCTTATCTCCTGCACCCCCTACGATCACTCTAATAGGCTCCTCCTCCACGTGGACATCCTGTTCTTCATCATAACCTCCTTCGGCCATGTCCAGGTCCCACTTCGCTCCGCCTCTGCGCGCCAAGTCGGCGTCCTTCTCTCTGGCAATCTCCGAAGATAACGGCGAAGAGGAAGAGAAATTGGGAGAGGAGGAGGAGGAGGGAAACGAGAAGGCAGTAAAAGAAGAGATGGAGGGGGAGGACAACAACGAGGGCGACGACGAGGAAGAGGAGGAGGAGGAAGAAGAAGACGTCTGTGGTTTCCCCTCGACGTCGGCAATCTCCCGATCCCGGTCCACAGGTCCATCGCGACTCACTAAATCCGGAGATGGGGTAAGGTGGGGACCACCATCGGGAGACAATGATTCTCCTCCATTCGCTGACGCTCGGGACAGCGCGCGGCTGGCAGCATCACCCTTTCTCCCAAAGATTCCCCGTGTCCTAGGTGGCGATGCAATGGCTGCTAATGGCCGTTCGATGGTGCCCATCTTGCGTATACTCCCAGGAAGAGGACGAGGACCAAAAGGAGGAGGAGGAGGATGAAGAGGTGGAGGTGGAAGAGAAGGAGTTGCTTGCAGGCGAAGATTCGAAGCGTGTGAATCGCCCAACGTGTGAATAACTATCCCTCCTCCGACGAAACTCCGCCGGTCCAGGTCCTGCGTCTGCTGAGCTGTCGGGTAACGAAGACTTGAGCTGCTCCCGCGAGACTCGCCGGTATCGCGGCGCCGCCGCTGTTGCTGCCGCTGAGCTGGCGGCCTCCACACGTCGCGTCGGGATCGCGATTGACGCGATCGACACTTGAACGAGGAGGAAGGAGATTCTGTGCCAGAGAGATCTGCGGTGGACGGACGTCCGGTCGAGAATTGACCATGGAGAATGGCCTCTCCCTCCCCTACTCCTCCTCCTCCTCCTCCTCCTCCTCCTCCTCCTCCGCCACCTCCAGCTGCTCCTGCTCCTGCTCCTGCTGCATGTGATGATTGTGCGGCTAATTCCGCCAATCGCCCTAGCTCAGCCGACGATGACTTGGCTGTGACGTTAAGTTGCCGATCGCTCCACGTGACGATCGTCGGATCGACGGTGGTAGAGAGGACGGCGCGCATCGACTCATCTCCTCCCTCCCGCTCTTTCTGTTTTTCACTCGGAGACGACGATGTATGATAGATCCGCGACGCCTGTCTGGTCTCCGTCCGCTCAGCCTCGTTTGCAACGTGGCGCACATCCGCACGGTCTGCATCAACGACGGCTGACCAAGCAGCAGCAAGTGTGAACCCCTGACTTCGGAGTCCATGTAGTCCTCCTCCTCCTCCTCCTCCTCCTCCTTGGAGGTCTGCTCCTCCGTCGGCCCATCCTCCTCCTCCTCCTCCTTGTCCTTCTTTTCTCCCATCCCCATCTCTCGTCGAGCAATGCTCTGCTTCATCTCCTTTGCCGCCACCTGTACCCCCGCCTCTTCTCCCAACACTCTTTGCTCCTGATTCCGCGGATCCACCGCCGCCCGAAGCGCGGTTCTCTCCGCTAGGAGAGATCGCAGCAAGCCTGCCCACCCCCCCCTTCTCCCCCCCTCTGGAACCATCCCAACCCCAATCCTTTAACAGCAACAAAGGCTGTCGTTTGCGCGGGAAGCGCAACGAAGGCAGGAAGAACAGCTGACAATGGAGTGGGGCATGATATGAGACACGCAGGCGCTGGTTAACGACGCCCCCGGGCGCGGCAAACCAAACCGAGTGCGCGCGCGTAAACTGGTCCGCCGTCGCCGCGCAGAGAAGACGCGAGCGCCGCCCCCGCTCCGCGCCTCCTCCTCCTGCTGCTGCTGCTGCTGCTGATAGCAAGACTGCAGAAGGCAGGACATCCCCCCCTTCGACAGCGCCGACGACCAGAGACTGGAGGGGGTATCTTCTATTATCGAAGGTAATTGAGGAAGGAGATAAAGCCATAGCCATAACCGACGCCGTTGCGTAACCAAACTGCTATAATTGATTATTCCCCGCACGGCGGAGGTGGTGTTTAACGGTCTGGACCTCGGAGGTGTAAATGAGGTGATGCTCTTTCCCCATTACCACCTCTTTCGCTGTGGATGACGCGCCGCCACCATATCCTCAAAGCCGAAAATGAAAACGAGGAGAAAAAGCGATAATAAACTACCATGCTGCCTTTCGCGCTAACCTTCCCGTGGTCTGAATATGCAGTCGACCAGCATATTCTCTCTGATGGTGTTACAGTTGTCAAGCAGGTGAGGCAGGTGAGGCAAACACCTGAGTTCCACGTGGAAGAATATGCTGCCTTGTCAAGCAGGTGAGGCAAACCCCTGCGTTCCACGTGGAAGAATATGCAGTCGATGTCATACGTCTTGTACAAGCTTGGTGAACTTGTGAAAAAAGGGGAGGGAGGGAGGGAGGGAGGGAGGGAGGGAGGGAGAGCGAGGAAGGGAGGGAGGGAGGAAGAGGATAGGATAGGGAGGAAAGAGGAAAAGGGTGAGGGAGGGAGGGAAAGCGAGAGGAGGGAGAAAGGGAGGGCGAGCGGGGGAGAGAAAGGAGGAAGAGCGAGGGAGAGAGGGAGGGAGAGGGAGAGAGGGAGAGAGGGAGGGAGAGGGAGAAAGGGAGGGAGAGGGAGTTAGAAAGGAGGGAGAGGGAGATAGGGAGAGAGAAGAAGAGGGAGGGAGATGGAAAGCAGGGACGGGAGGAGAGGGAGGGAGAGGGAGCCAGGGAGGGAGCGAGGGAGAGAGAAATAAAAAGAAAGGGAGAGAGGAAGCGGGGGAGAATGAGAGAGGGAGAGGGAGGGAGGGAGGGAAGAGTGGGAAGGGGAGAAGGGGGAGAGGGAGAGTACGGGACTGGAAGAGCAGTAGAAACGGGGAGAGGGGGAGGGGGGGAGAGGGGAGAATAGGGTGAGAGAAGGAGAGCGGGAGGGAGACGTAGACACAGACGGCGAGGGAGAGACGGCGGGGAGCGAGACGAAGAGACAGAGAGACGGATAGACGGAGAGCAAGACGCTCATGGGAGCTGGAATGACAGATTTCGAGTGAACGAGGTGCTGTCATTGCGGGCAAGCGGGAGTTGAGGAACGGTGAGAGCACAGAGAGAGAACATTCGCAGAGAAACAGTCGAAAAGAGAGCGGAGTGACGGCAAGGGGGATTACAAGACGGCACGACGAAGAGAAGCGAGAGAAGAGGGAAATATGGCAGCCCAGCGGGGAGAGGGCGAAGGCCAGACAGAGCACAGGACAAAGTGAAACGAAGCAGAAAGGGTAGACACAGAGGCGACAACCGAAGGAGACAAGAAACAACAAGACAAGGTGGAGAGAGAGACAAGCATGCGAGGGCAAACGACGAAGAGAGGCGCAGACGAAAAGGGGATTTGGACAAAATGGTGAACAGCCACGCAAAAGAAAGACAAGGGAGGAGAGACGAAAAGCAGAAAAAAAAAAAAAAAAAAAGCAGAAGAGTTCATGGACAGAAATACAGACCCGAGTTCGATTCCAAATGCAACAAACATGCACAGAATACAATAATTCCTCTTTTTTTCCAAACGAAAAAAGGAAAAAGAAAAGGCAGAAGAGACGACAAGATAGGAGACGGAGACTACGGAGGAGGGACGAAGCGAAGAGACCGGAAGGAGGAGAGGAGGTCAAGAAGAAGGAGAGACAGAGAGGGAGGAGAGCCAGCAGCACAGAAGGAGGCGCAGACGGAGGATAAGCGATCCTGACGACAGGCGAAGCAGCAGCCAAGAGCAGGACAGCGGGCAGTAAAACAAAGAGGAAGACGAAGAAGATGGGCAACTGACAAGAAAGAGAACGGCCATGAGAGCGCCAGAGGAAGAGGCGGAACACACAAAGGATGAAGCAGACGAGAAGAATGAGAATGCGTTGCGGCCAGACGACGGGGTTAAGGAGTCCAAAGGACGAAGAAGCGGCGAACAGCGAGGAGAGAAGAACAGAGGAGAGCAAAAGAGAGGAGAAAGAGGAGAAAGAGGAGAAAGAGGAGAACGAGGAGAAAGAGGAGAAAGAGGAGAACGAGGAGGAGTCCGAAGGACGAAGAAGCGGCGAGCAGCGAGGAGAGAAGGAGGAGAAGGAGGAGAAGGAGGAGAAGGAGGAGGGAAGAAGCAGAAGAAGGAAGAATCCGAGCAACGCCTGGCCTGTAATTCGGTGCACGATGATCTTGCTTTCGGGGAGACGAAGCGGTAGAGGGAGATGGGAGAGAGAGAGGTGGGAGAAGGAAAGCGGAGGGGGGAAGAGGATGACGGCAGAGGGAGATCGGGAGATGGCAGAGAGATGAGAGGGGGATGAGAGGGAGATGGGGATAGGGAGATAAGAGACAGGTAAAAGGAAGATGAGAGAGGCAGGTGGGAGATGGGAGAGGGACAGAGGAGGGGGAGAGGGAGAGGGGAGACGGAGATGGGAGAGGGGGATGGGTGAGGGAGATGGAACGTAATGGAGGGATTCAGGTTGAGGGAGGAGCGAAGACAAAGACAGACGGATTCCATAGGAGGGAGGAAGATAGTTACTTTTTGCCATTGTGAGTCTCTTAGTACGCGAGTCCCAGGCGGCGTTATTCAATAATTGAGGGACTGCCGCTATCCAGGCGGGCACTATTCGCTTCCTCTCTTCGCAGCGCGCCGAAGCTGATCGGGCTGGAAAATGTTACAAGTCCCCTCCTGACCTCCTTCACGTGCCAGCGTGAGTGTCTGCCTCTGTAGACACCTCTCAGCACATGATGCCGTTGAGTCAGTTCCAGCCATCCCCTGCGCTGGGCTGAAGAAGAAAAAGAAGAAGCCTCCGTCTGTTCTGATGACGATGCCCACTGCGAGAGAGACACGACGATGGTTGAAACTCCGCCCACGAGAGAGCTTCACCTCGATGAGCCCAAGCTAACGGCTATGGCGATCAAACGACGAGGAGAAGCAAACGCGGCAAACACCAACAATCCACTCTCACACGAACTTCCTCCCTCTTACTCTCTTTCTTCACCTACGCTCCGCAGTTCGCTCCACATACTAACGACAAAAAAATACCACAAACGCAGCAGCGCCACATCGATTCAATCTCCCCACACCCCTGCCTGCTCGTTGTAACCCCCTCTCTCTTGTGAAGTGGACCCCCCTTTCTCCCTTTCTGCCCAACTTGTCAACACTTTCCTTCTGTTATGGACGACCGACAGGCGCGAAAAGGAGAGTGACGTCAGATGGAGGACAGACTCCCAGACGGACTAAAGCACCGTAATATTATTATTATTATTATTATTATTATTATTGGTATTTATAAGCTTGTGCTGAACCAGCTGATATTAGCTCCCTGTTCATTTGTCACTTGATAAGCGTCAGAGTATACTCACAACTAGGACTTTTTCTACTAAAAAGCTCTGGACGTGATTGCGGTCAGATTCGTCCACACCGGGTCGTAATTGCAGTCTGGTGCATTATGGAAAGTGCCACTGTAGTGGTGGTATGTATGCCTTGTCATTCGTTACCGGCATCATCCCCGCCGTTCTGTGGGAAGTTGGAAAATAACTTGATAAACCGCCTCCCTCTTGCCCTAAACCACAGAAACCGTGTTCCACGCTTGAGCATCTCCGAGGAAAGAGATTCTCTTCGTGTAGTCCGCGGGAAGTACATCGTCCGCGTTACCATTTCCAAAATATTTCGTTTGGTTGCAATTATTTCACTCCTTCCTGCTGTGTTGTAGAATAAGAGTGAGAGTAAGAGTGTTTCACTTCGTTCCCATGCCCGACACATTCCCGTTCCGTAAACAACACGGCCAGCCTGCCAGTGCCGCGCGACCTGCGCGACCTACGCGACCTACAGTACGCGAATACGAGTGCGCATCCCTCCAGATACCTGCCCCCCCACTGCACCTCCTGCCTGTCGACGCCTGCAAAACGTTCCAGGCAGATTATGCCTTCCGCAGCAAGCCTACTTTGCCCTGCTGCGCATGCGGTCAGGAAGCTACAGCAACAGTACCGTGCTGCGCTTTTTCTCTCTTCGTTTTTCGACGCGGAAACGACGGGGAACTCCACAATAGACAGTGTCGGTACCGGACCTCTGACAAATTGACGAGGGCGCGGGAACGCAGCCCATATGGAGGATCAGCCCTGGGTAGGTTGTAGGAGGCGCAATTCGAGGTGGTTCTCTCTTTGCTGACTACCTGCGGTTTCATCCTTGTTTTTTTTTTGGCGTGAGGGGGGGGGGATTGCATTTTGTATTCCACCAGATCACACCCACGCACTGCCCTGCTATTGCAGTGAACTGCACCCTGCTCTGGGCCCTTCGGCAGAGGGGCGGTAGAGCTTTGGGGAAAAGGACCGGTGGACCTAAAAATTAGAGTCGCCAGCCCACGAGGTGCAATGGATGGGTGGGCGACAGGTGAAAACACATCCCTTGAGAAGATTAGCATGGCCCCTGTGCAAGGATGATACGCATAAATCGGGAAAAGTACGGGCTTGAAAAACGGATGAAAAAAGGAAAGAAACAAAAAGAGCTACACGAAAAAATAACTTGTAAGGCCCGCCACTTGGCGGGTGGAAAAGGATTGTCACGAAATAGGGAAACAAAGAAAGAACGAGAACACATAGGGCCTCGCTGCAGTGCTCTCCACATGTACAAATGACAAAAAGTATAGGAAATTACTAACTTTATTGTTTTAATTACAACACGCCAATTTCAAACACATGCCTGTCACGCTACCTATTGTTGGCCTCATCACGCCAGAAGGTGATTTTGGCATCCCGCCAGATTTTAGATGATTCGATCGTACGAAGGGTACTCGCGTTGTAATAGGCATTTCTTCGTTGTTTTTTTTTTTAATAATAGGCGTTTCTTGTTTGAGAGCATAATCATGTTAGCACTTTCATCGATGTATCCGACGTAGATTGCAGCTTATGTTGCATGCATCTGACCGCAATCACGTTCAAGTCAAATCAAGACGTCCTCATGTTGTCTAGCGCATCAGTCCCTCAGCCACGTCACGCGGGGTTTAGCAGGACTTATAACCGAGTGGCGTCGCTCCAGCCGAGTGCGTCAGCCATACCTCTCGTGAATCCCTACGACAGGAGAGGGTAACGCGATGTACAACTTACCTCCGCATGTGGAAGTTGTCACCATCCCATCGGTGGACGTATCCCCTCCGAGTTACCAAACTACGTACGAAAGTTTTTTTAGTGCAATCGTAAATGTGACCCAGCCGAGGACGTTTCTCATTTGTTGTCGCATAGGGGGTATGCCGTCACACTTTTTCCAATCAGGCCACTTTTGACGACCAGAAAGTCAGCAGGCTGTCACGCATGATTTTTTATATATTTTGCAATAAATAATCTTTCTTTTAACTGTGTTTCTCGAGCGTCTTTAGCCACATTTATGTATTGGGGTCTATAGATGTAGAGCCATCTAAAACCCATGAGTTATGAATAGTTTCATCCGAGGCTAAAAATTTTGAGGTCAAGCATAGCACACCACTCCTCTCACGGAGTAGGGAGATAGAGTTGGGAGAAGGTCCCTCGTCGAAAATGTCGAAACTTTGAAGACTTTGTCACTGCCTCATAGTCAATCTCTGTCGGTGAGATATACCTATTTGTTAGGTCAACCAATTTACCACAGTAAAAACCGTCGATGAGGTAGAAAGGGACCGGAGGTCGAGGATAATATAACTTAAGATCAAAGCTATGAATCAACTTTGCACCCTCTTGAAGCACTTTAACTCTCTCCTCAATATATCGAGTTGCAGTAACCCAAACGGAGTAAAACTGCTCATGAGTCTTCTTGTCTTTCTTTATATAGATCCTCATGTATAAGTGAGGACAACCAAGATTGATGAATCTCCTTGTTTTAAACCAATTGTATTGACATACTGGTACTGGAAAGCATAATTGAAAGCAATCCTGTTTAGGCTACTCAAGACAGTCTGACGAACTGGAAATGAAAAGATTGTACTCATGTATCGAGATGGATACTAGAATTAATCTGAATGATAATGAACTCTGATCGATAATGATCAATAAAGTGTTGATGATCTTCACTAACTGAATGTCACTGATTGGTTGATATGGACATGAAAGTCGTCTGGTAGTAACTGAATGGCAACGAACTTAGGTACTCATGATGCCTTGAATGATTGAAAATTGTTAAGTAACAAGCCGTTGATTGTTGAAAATTGAGAGAAATTGATTAATGGATGACACCTACTGTGTGATTCACTAAAGAGTCTTCGAAAGGAAGGAGTTTGAGAGCATTTACGTCCACATAAGCTTCACCCTGACCTGCTCAATGGTCTTTAGAGATGAGTTAGTACCTCGCAATTTGTCACAGCGATTGTGAAAATAAAAAACATACTCAATGTATTTTTTTTCTCAAATTCTTTTGACTGCACACTCTCTCAAAATCAGCCTATGAAATTTCATCTCCCGATTGACCTTCATCTCCCACCCTTCATATTTATTTTTGTTGACTTTGCATCTCATCACTAGTTATGCATCTCTCATGTTATTATGTTTTTTGTTTGGCGGATTGCGACTCGTTTCTCAATCTAACCTTCAACCTTTATTTATTTTTCTGGTTGTGCACTGCTGAATTTTTTTTACTGTTTTTCGTTAAGCTTTTGCCCCGGGACTCAGTGTCACTCGTGTATTTCCTGATCCCGTTAGGTTTAGAGTTTTTGGTAATACGCTGAGTATGACTCACAAGACGGTTCTCAAGACTTCGTTCCGCAACTTCTCTCAGTTAAAGTCCAATCTCTGCAGAGTTTAAGGTCTGTTAATTCAAGTCCAGACTCTAAACCCCGATTATCTTAAACTCACATGTGTGATCCGCTTGTACTGACTCGTCGATCTTACACATGAACCTTAATTTCAAGAGGAACTAAACTCAGGACCAAAACTTGTTCGCTAGGGAAAGGGTACCAAGTATGATCTCTGACCAATCTGGACAGACTTTCTGGTCTTTCATGAATGTTTGTTGGTTGACCGAAGTGCAATGGCTCAAACTCGCCATGAACTGTTGGACCTCAATTATTCTAGTTTAAATATGTAAACGATTAATAAGTGTTCCTAATATAACAGGTAGTCGTAAAATCTTTCGTGATTCGCTGCTATAGAACTTGGACTCAACTCATTCATCATGCTGAGTGTCTCTAGGCGTAGGCGTCATCGGTCAACTGCTCTAATTAGAGTAGAGTGTAATTTTGTTTTTATGCAATGTTGAGAGTAGCTAAATGTGAGTCCGTTTTGTCGAGCGCATCGGTTCCACAGGGGGAGCTTCCCGCCCGCGTCAAGCATAATTTTTGCAGGACTCTTATTGCAGTGGAGCTTTCGCCGTTCCGGTCGAGTGTGCCAGTTGCAATTCTCACGAAGCCCTACGATAGGATAAGGGTCACACGAGGCACGACTTACCTTTGCCCAAGTGGTTGTCACCACCCTTGGACAAGTGCATCCCTGTCGAGCTACCGAACCACGTGCGTAGCCAAGTGCAATCGTAGAGGTGGCCCGACCGAGGGTGTTTCTCGTTTGCTGTAGCACAAAGGGTACGAGTGGTCGAACGCCTTAATCAGACCTGTACGTGAACCAACACTTTGGGGGTTGATCTCCCAAGAGCGATTCTCACGAAGCCCTACAACAGGATAAAGGTCACACGAGGCACAACTTACCTTTGCCCACGTGGTTGTCACCACCCTTGGACAACTCCGTCCTTATCGAGCTACCGAACCACGTGCGAACACCGAGTGCAATTGCAGAGGTGGCATGACCAAGGGTGTTTCTCATTTGTTGTAGCATAGGGAGTACGCTTGGTCGAACACCTCAATCAGAGTTGTACGTGAACCGACACTCTGGGGGTTGATCTCCCAAGAGTGACTCTGCGTCGGTCGACTAAGCCGACTCATCTAACCACACAATATACTTTACAAAGATAAAAACCAAGTTTCACTTTTAAATCACACCTAATCTTTTTTTTTGTATCCAAACCATAACCTTTTAGCGACAGAAATAAGTGAGTGTCATGCACGAGACTCTGAATAAATGTCGAACCGACGTAGGCCTTGTCATATCGACTAGCCATGCATGGTTACACAAGCAGACGTGAGGATGACGTAGTACTATGCGGCATCCATAACCACGAAGTCCTCAATAACTATGAGGGTCATATTCAACACTTAAGTGTCAACTGACACGAGTTTTGAGGGGTTAATCTTTAAATGCTAGACAATAGCAAGTGCAATAGCGAGGCTCACATTCAACACTCAAGTGTCGGCTGACACTAGTCTTAAGGGGTTAATCTTTAAACGCTAAACAATCGCAAGTGCGATTGTGAGACCTACCTTTTTATGCACATTATAGAAAGGAGTGGTAGGCGGGTTTCGTCCCTTTGTAGCGGTCAAACGTCTCTGACCCTAAGAGTGAGGCTCCATCATTGAAGGTCTGGAAACATGTTAACGGGCTTGACTTAA